CCTATAACCCNNCTAAACCCTAAACACCTAAAGCCCTGAACCCTATGCTTTTTCCTGGCTCACGAGCCTCCTACACATATGGAAAAAGCTATACAAATTTGATAACTCCTTCCCAAACCATGTAGAACTCCTTTTTGGGGTTTAGGATTCTACAGGGTTTAGGGTTCAAGGAAAACCCCAAATTTGATAACAAAGCCCTTTTTGGGGTTAGGGTTCCAAAGTGTCTGTAGAAGTTTGATAGCTCCTCCTGAAACCTTCTAAACGCCCCTTTTTTGCTTAGGGTTCTAAAGGGTTCAGGGTTCAAGGCAAACCACTCACAAAAACCCGTCAGAAAGCTTTCTGGGATCGTTTGGCTGCTCTCGGGCTGGCACATAATGGAATCTCGGTACTCCTTCTCGGTCAAACCCGCCACACCTGGGCGCTTCCAGAAGTGAGGGGCTCATCTGGGCTCGACAATTTCCGGGTTTAGGGTCTTTACCAAGATATGGAGGGCTTACAGTCTAGGGCCTTTGGAAAGAATATCAAGAAATTGGGTTGGGGTTTGGGGGCCTGCACAAACATGGGTTGCCACACTTCAGTCAACGAACGCTTGGCGCTTGGATTCAGTCGTGGACTTGGGCTTTTATGGACAGCGAAATCCTGCAGAGAGCTTCCATCTCTTGAGCGTGGGGCTTAGTGGCTTGAGCGTTTAGGGTTTTGGGCTGTTTTGGTGTGTTAAATTAGGCTTACGCCTTCGCATGCTTGAGTGTTGAAAGCTCAGGGTACGCATGACCTAATCAATATTGCGTGTCTGACTGCAACGTTTTTTATTTATTGTAGCCCAAGCTCCTACAGTTCGGAACTACAAGTAGATCATCGATAAACTTCTTCGTGTTGACCCTACCGAAAGCAGCTAGCTGGTTTCGAAGCAAGCTTCTGAGCAGAAGAATCTTTCTGCTACATATCTCCCGGCTTGCCAACACTATTCAGAGTGGTCACAAGCCAATGCAAGACGGCAGCACGCCGTCTGTTCTTATAAATTGTCTGAGTACGCAGGCCAGGGTCCAGTCGACTCAATGCCTGGAATATATCAGGGAGAATTCCAGTGCAAAATTCTAGTCTTGTAGGGTTGGGTTTAATGCGTGGGGTTGCTCGACTAACGCGTTTGCTTTCGTTCCCTGTCCTCAGCGGTCCCCTCAACCAAGCATGATGGTTCCTAGCAGAGCCTACCTCAGTTTGTGGCCCTTAGACAACCCCGCACTATCCGTGATCAGGATGTTGTCTCTATATTTTCGATAATTATCAAAATATGTAGGAATTTGTTCATAAGTGGAATTGAAAGTCTTTGGCACTCGACCCCAGAAACGGGGCAAGGCACAATGGGTGGTGCAGGCGCTCCCAGCACGCTTCGAAGACGCTGCTGTGCTGTGAGGGTAGGAACCTACATGGACCCTATCAAGGCCGTACCAAAACCCAAAAGGGTTTAGGGTTTAGGGTTTCTTCCCAAACCACACAAATACTACTTTCAGGCATCAACCAAATCACCCATGTTCAAGACCCCCAAAAACGACCCTATAAAGCCAAAAAACCCAATGAAGAGCCTATGAGAGTCCGAAGAATCCTTACGAAGACTCGTGCTTTACGGTCCTTAACCCCCAATCCGTAAACCATGGTTTAGGGTTTAGGGGTTTATAATGAATCCTAAGCGACAGTTTCTGAGACCCTGGCCGCAGGCTTTCTCGAGAGGATCGGAGCCGCCGGGTGTCGAGGGGAGCGCACTGTAGTAGACCTGGTCTTCAGAAGGCCCTCTTTGAGGGTTCCAAGCGCGCTTCTGGCGAAGGGTGTCTTACTTTTTGCGCGAGGTTTTCTCATGGTGAAGGATTTTGTTGCGGCAAGGGGGCCTACAGCTGTAGGAAGTGTAGCAGACGACGCCGCACCTTCATGGCGCAGCTTGGTTCAGTGCAGGGCTCAGCAAGGCTTGGCCCTGAACAAGCTTGGAATCCTCCTTTGGAGGCTGCGTCGGGAACAGAAAGGCCCACCTTAAGGACGAAATGAACCCGAAAAGGGTTTTGGGTTCATATACCATATAGGGATTCATAGTATAAGGGTATAGGGCTGTTACTTTTAAGGGTCATTTCGTCCTTAAGGCACTCTAAAGGTTGAGCCATGGGCCTCTAGCATGGCCTCCGAAGCAAGGGCCCTTGCTACACATACTATACTGTATATATGGGTTAAAAACAAGGGTCCAAAATTAAGGGCCCCAGCTTAGGACCATAGAGCCATGGGTGACACTGTCAGCGGCCAGCATCGTATCTACATGTATAGATAGCAATAGTGGAGTGTTTCGTGGCAACCCTAAACCCAACGCCCTAGACCCCTAAAACCCCAACAGCCGAAAACCCCGAAGCCTAATTAACAGCCCCCTAAACCCTAAACTCTAAACCCAGCGTATCTATGCACCTCTACCTCCAGCTGAGGCGTCCGGTGCTGTTGCGCGGGACCCTCCGGGGCGAAGGCTGCACCCAATATTCACAGCTCGGGTTTGGGAGTATAGCCTCCATTGTAGTTCCTTTTTGGGTTTAGAGTACCATTGTAGGTCCTTTTTTGGGTTTAGAGTAAAGGATCCTTACTATAAGCCTGGTTCAAAAACGAATTCACAAGGAACTACAAGGGAGAGGCTATTGGTAGGATTTGTAGCCAGCATCTATTACGGTTGCAGAACAGCGAAACGCCTGTTTTTCGTCGTGGATACGAAGCCTAGACCCTGAACCCTAACACTCCAAAACCCTAAGCCCTAACAACCCTGAATCTTAAGTCATAAAATCCTGAACCTTTCCATCCCTAAAACCCCTCAAATCCTTGAAAGACCTACACCCTAACCCTAAACCCGATCGTCAGAGATATGAAAGCTCACTCCGTGTTCGGCAGACCAAACGACGTCGCCTCCTCATCGCTCTTTGTCCACACAAGTCCTGCAATCTAGGGTCCTAAGTATGGGCCCTCATTTGGGACCCCTTATATACCCCTTATATTTTGTTACAGTAGATAGATAGATCAATCGATAGATAGGTAGATAGATAGATAGCTGAATACTTAATGGCATATTGCAGGGCATCTAGTATGATAGACTCCAAACCTGGAGACCTAATCCTGCAAACCTGAAACCCTAGACCCTAGACTGCAACAAAAACAGTAAGGGCCCTTACTTCGGACGCAAGGCTTCGGCCAGAACCCCCAAAGCCCTGGCTGACTTAAGGACCAGACGTGCCTGAATCTAAGCTTTGGGTTTAGGACTTTAGGGTCTATTAGGGTTTTAGCGTTTAGGGTTTTCGGATTTAAGGTTTTAGGGTTTACGGTGTCGAGTTTAGGGTTTAGGGGAATTAACATCGTGAATCTTGAAAGCGAAAGCGCGAAATCCCAGAACAGTACAGCTTAAGGGTTACCTGCATCGAATCCGCATATGCCAGCCCTTCAGGGTACTACCTATGATGCCCCCCGCAAACAGTGGCAAGTTTGTCCCTGATTCGCAACCAGCCTGTTGCCTTGGAATCTACGGCAAGCCCACCGCCACATTCATGAATAGAAGCAACTTTCCAGAAATCATGGCCATCCACCGAAACTGTATCGACACTTCAATGAGTTTCACGAAACCTACGACTCCCTCACTATGACTGCAACGACGACGACGACTACTACTACTGCTATTGCTACTACTGCTACTGATACTGCTACTGCTACTGCTCCTGCTGCTGCTTCTACTGCTACTGCTGCTGCTACTGCTACTGCTATTACTGCTGCTGCTGCTACGGCTGCTGCTGCTGCTGCTGCTGCTGCTACCACTACCAGGACCACTACTACCACGACTACCGCGACTGCCACTACTACCTCTCCTAGCACTACTAGCACTACTAGCACGACTACCCCTACCATTACTACGACGACGACTACTACCACCACTACTACCACTACCACTACCACTGCCACTGCCACTGCCACTGCCACTGCCACTGCCACTGCCACTACCACTACCACTACCACTATCATACCACTACTACCACTACCACTGCTGCTACTACTACTACTACTACTACTGCTGCTGCTGCTGCTGCTGCTGCTACTACTGCTACTACTGCTACTACTGCTACTACTGCTACTGCTATTGCCTACTGCCTGCTTCCTACTTCCTACTTCCTACTTCCTACTTCCTACTTCCTACTTCTACTT